AAACTCTTAAAGCCTTCATTTTTAAGTATATCTAAAAGTACTTTTTAATTATTCATAATTATGGAAGCAATTGATGAAATTTCCTCAAAAATTTCCAGTTGCTTCATCCCTCCCTTCTTAGAAAATTTTTTTTATCCATAACAAAATTCTTGCTCCAACTCACTCTCTCAATCTCTCTTGATCAGCCATGCTTACATGATTAGCACATATAGTGGTAATTACATATCAAAATACATTCATATATATATAGGATTATACATGGTTATATAATTGATTATATACGTGGTTATACATATATAAAAATTATAACATCAACAGTTGTTTAGAACTCGTTTCGGAAATTACTAAAAATGTCCTGGCTACTGTTAGTCACCCATTCACGCAATGCACATACCTTCCAGTATGCGCAATGCTCGTGTGGATAACGATGATAAGTGCACATCACCTGGTTGTGGCACTCCAATCGTCGATAGGGGGGACATCCGTATTCCTCCATATCCACACATTGTATCTCCAGATGACGTTGCAGTAGCTATGCCTTCTCTATTCCTTTAGTATAAACCTTAGTGTATTCCCGTCGTATCTCCTGACGAACCCTAGGAAGTCTGACGTGGAATGATTGCCATCATCCCAGCATAGTCCATGTAGATACAGGGTACACCATAAGATCTGTCATCGATCAGCATCACTGAGACGATCCACGGAATAGGGGAGCCTAAAACAGTACACATCAGTGCACCCTGTTCTGCAGTCCATTACCGCCATCTCTTTGGTGATGTACAAGCCGTTCACCCTAAATCCTTCTACTTCGACTATTGCTGCTTTCTGTCGCTGTACTGGTTTCCTACAATTATTTGTTCAAGCACAATGTTATTAAATTGTCACTGTATGAACACACATATTCATTTGTTCTTTGTTCACCATAGTTACACATTTACCTTGCTATTACACCTGACTTCTTGTTCGCATTTGTTCACCAAATCACTTCAGTCACTCTATTCACAACACTTCACTTTGCTAACACACTCTTAACACTCGATATTTGTTGATAGAAGTCCCGATCCTCACGTTCAGTTTATTTCGTTGTACTGTCTAACTGTCTATTCTCGTCCACTGGTTATAAGCGTCGTTTGTTTCTTGTTTCTGGTCACTGTCTGTTATTTTTGTCTTTTCTCAAACTCTCTATGCCTAATAATTTTGACTAATATTACTGTTAGAAATTCACTACCCTCGCCAATTGGTTACGTCTAGATAATTTTGTAATCATCTAAATAATCAAGCTATTACCTGATTAGATGGGGCCTACTCATTCAGTTCCACTATTTCAGTAGCTTCTGAATATTCAGACAATTCATTATTGCCCGTTCTTGATCTTTTCTTCTTTCTATTTTTACATAGCCCATCTAATGCCATTAACTTTAATAAAGCTAATTTATCTCTTTTGATATACAGCGTATAACTACTAAGCATAAGGTTATTATCACCGAGTTAGATAATCTCCATTTATCTAACTCCCGTTCACCAGCTATAGTACATAATTGTTCTACGTGCTGCTGAAATTCTTTAAAGAGTTAATCCCGATTTTTTTAAGGGGTAAGTGTTTAGTATTTTCCAATATATTCTTTAATCCCTGAGTATCTGTTTCTATATCTATACTCTGAATTAACTGTAATTCTTTTTTCGTTAGTAACTCTTGTAGTTCTGGGATTTTTATGGTTAACTTAGTTCCTATATATTTAGTTTCACTTCTAAAGTTTGACGGCAAGGTTATACCTTGACTATAAGCTGAACAATGTCTGGCTAGTTTTAAATAACCACTATTGTTTAACTTAACTACTCTAGTGTAATAATCAAACTGATGTACATTTGGTTTTGGGCAAACTACGGATAAAGTAAGTTCGTCTTTAACGTTAAATAACCAAATTCCTGGGGTTTTAGTTTTATAAAAATAGAATGGTTTTGGGATAATTATCCGTTTCTCACACAGTTCAGATATTTTGTTTTTAATTCCCGTGAATATCACATAATTACAAGTTACTATAGGCGTTGAATACATACCTGAGTTAGGATCACAAACTCTGATAGGTCCGTCTATACAATTTAACATGTCTTCTTCAGTCATTTCAACATATGTATGTTGATCACTCGAAACAGCAATGTACGGTTTGTCGTTTTCTATAGTTAAAGCTAAGGAATGATTTATTGCTATCGGTAAAGATATAATCTTATATAATTTAAACATTCGGTCAATCGCTTTCAATGGTATTTCTATAAACATCCGTAGAGTATCTTTAACTGCAGCTGTCTTTACGTCAGCCCATGTGTTATACATATAAATCTGGTCATTATGAGTAAGTATTATAAATTGTAAATGTGGAGGTAATCTCCTTTCAATTTCGTCCAGTACTCTTTCTAACTTACTTGGTGGTAAAAAGTAAGAACTTAGCTTTTTGTCTGCAGCTACGTACAATGCTTGTATTAGCTTAGCTAACTCTGTTCTACTATTAGCTACTGTAAAAGATAACTGTTGTAAGTTGTTCTAAATTCTATCGTTGAAAACTAACATTTCCATTCCTGCTCTATGTATCTGAGTTTATCTTATTTTCGTGTCTACTAATGCATTAGTAATATTTATTAAAGCCTTAGACACTTTTCTGATTTCTTGGTCATGCAGTTCAAGCGTTTGATTTAACGAATTCATTATAGTTGCTTGTTCTCCTATTAAATGAATCATTTCTTTAGAAACCTGTCTTTGTTGTTCTACCTTTTTATTTAGGTCTTATAAATCGTCAGTGGTTGCTGTTCCAAATAGAAATTTTAGAATACTTCCACCTGCATTTATTAGTCTTCGTTTTTGTCTAGTCCTGTTGTATATAGATACACTATTCTTAATGTCTTGTAGTTCTAGTAATAGTTCACCTATTTCGTCATGATATTGTCTAGTTAAGGTTTTCTAATTATCAATTAATCCTTCCTGTAATACCCTAGCTAACTGTAAGATAGCCATTCCTTGATTTCTCATGTGATATGATGGTACGCTCGCTGCACTTTCCTCATTAAAACTAACATGAGCCTTCACATTCAATGATCTTTCAAACAATACCAACTCTTCTTGCAATCTCATCAGTAATCTAACGTATTGTGGAAACGGTATGTCTTCCACAATTATCCATTTATCACCAGATAATATAAAATTACCTTCTTCAACAAAGATTACACCTACCTTGTTTTCAACTGGTACAATACTCACATTCTGTCCGGTTCCAGTCTTTGTCAGCAACAGTATAAGAATCCTAAAGATATATTTACTAAATAACACTATTAGTCACCTATAAAATATTTAACATTTAAACATAACTATTATAAGTGTGTGTGTGTGTGTGTGTGTGTGTGTGTGTGTGTGTGTGTGTGTGTGTG